AACAGCCCTAACCCGGAAGCCACAGCAACTGCCTCTATGGCAGTTAAGTCTTGGCCTCAGGCTAACTCACAGCTAGCTGGCATCAAGCGGAAGCAAATGCAGCCTCCACACATCTGCAAAAGACCTTGCTGGTACAAGCAATGACTGTTTTCTTTAAGCCCTAACAGTTGTAATAAACCTGTTCTCTACTCCTCAAAGAGTAAATTTCTCCACAGAGAACACCCAAGTGTTGTAAATCATGATACATAAGCAGCATTTCATTTTCCCTGCCTGGGAAAACATACCATTATGGTAAATTGCACCCTTACCTTTTTACGAACTCCTTCCTGTGTGCTAGACAGCTTGAGGAGAACAGGGGGTAGGAATTTGGAAATAATGTTCTGTAACTGCTCATCTGTTTCTGCATGGCCAAGACGCAAGAACACACGTTCAAGTTGATCTGCAGGTTTTTTTTTAAAAAAAAAAAAAAAAAAGGAAAAGAGAAACTGGTTGAAACTCAAAATTGCTGTAGCAAGAAAACAACTTTTTCTGAACATCCCCTAATGGGCCTGTAAGAAAAGCTGCACACAATTCTTAAAGTACTTCCATTTCAACAGCACTCAACACAGATCCATCTTCTATTTTTAACACTAACTGAGCAAACTGTTGATGGCAGAAACCAGCCTCGTAGCTTCCAGAACTAGCCTCCACAATTATGTGGAGACCACTCCTATCAAAACCAGAAGCAATTAAGATTTCCTTTGCTTCACGCTGTGTTTCAAGTAGAGGCTAGAACATCTCCAAAGGTGAAACAGAAGGTTAGGATCTCCAGGTCATTTCCTGCCCCTTCTGCTTTGACAGCAAAGGTGTGCGGCTGTGGGGCTGCGAACTTTTGAAAACACGTTGGCTGTGATCTGCATTCAGACCATGATGTTCTGGATCTCCACTAGTTAATTAGAGGGCAACAAGATCTGTCGAATTCTCATTATTATTCTTGTTAAATCCAGGGCTCCGGTCAGGCACAGGGACCCCGTTGCTGTAGATGTCATGTCAACAGAACAAAACCACCGAGCACGTACAACAGAACCCAAGACCAATTACGGTTAGTATGGCAGAAAGGAAAGAGCCTAGGCAAAGCACAAGTTATAAGCATGGGGAAAGCCACACCACGGCAGCTGCATACAAATAAACAGGCTGCACACCTGAAAACACAAGAAACAAACTACAAAGTGAAAAACGTTCTCTGAAAGCTTAAGACTACTGTTCCAGCGTAAATTTGATACTCATGGGAGTATTCACAGGACATCTTGACACAGGCTAACCTTTTCTGCCCATGACTTTCTGTTAAGCCACTTAGGTCTTCCAGAAAATCTTTACAAAGCTGTACAAATGTTGACTGAACCAGTTACTGATTTGTTACAATTTGCTGACCTTTTTTCCAAAAGACAGCATTAATCATCAATAGGAGTAAGATCACAAGCGTGAAACACAGGACACATTGCTGTAACTTAAACCGCAAAGCTCCTGTTATCACTCTAAGAAGCTGCTGGAGTGTTGTAAGAAATTCACCTTCCTCTAGCCAGCAGGTCTCCTCCCCAGACCCGGGAAGGAACACACAAAAAAGTTTTTTTTAACATCTGCAAAGAGGTAGAAGTTGCAACTCCTACAAGATCAAGGGCGGAGGGGGGGAAGCTATAAACATCTGTTTTCTCAGTGATCTAGCAGAAGATCATTTCAAGGAAACAGATGAGACCAGAATTTTCTGTCAGCAGCTCAAGCACAAGGGCTCAGCACCATCTGTCTTTATACAAAGACTGGAAGAGTCCCTATTTTAAGCTCCAGCATGCAGCTGCCCCAAGAGCTAAACCAGTCGCAAAGCAAAACCTCCCTGGCACAGCAGCCTTCCCGACGGCTGGACCAAGAGTAGTCCTTGTGCACAAGATCAGGAGCGTCTCTCCTCCATAGTGCAGCACTGCAGGCCAAATCCACAGGCAGCAATGAGACCCAGGGCTTCTGAAGGGACTACAGGTCTTAAGATATCCTACAAGCGGAAAACCATTCCCCCAGAGGCTAATCTAAGGTTACCTGTTGCAAGCTGAGATTAGAGGGAGACCAAGGAGAACCCTCCTTCAGCGGAAGAGGATCACTGAGCTGGCTGTAAAGGACTACAGAAGCAAGAAAGAATAAAGCACTGGTGCAGGGCAGGGGTAAAGACTGAGGCAAAGGGACATGGTTGAAACTTAAGTGAAAAAAAGGATGTTCAAATGCAAATACAGCTCTAGCCAGGAAACCTATCATGATGCAGCTGCAGAAGCCCTTACTGTCCTGTTTTTTAAATCTGTGCTATCCCTGCACTAAGAGTCCTCACAACATCATCCCTCCTCTGCCAGCTGCAGATTAAACATAAACATATCGCTTCCAACATTTTATTTTCTGCTGGGCAAATATGACAGGCAAGCTGAAAAGACAGAGGACTATGAAATTTTACTGTCAGGGAAATTACAAACTGAAACTCTGCAGCACCTACAATGCAAACTGACTTGCAAGTCAATCTCTTGTTTCAGACGGATTTTACGGACCAACCAGGCTGCCAGCTAGTCAACAACTTCATGTTATTTATCCCATATTCCAAGTATCTTTTTTTAAATCCTAACAATTTCTTTCTCTCTTCACCTTCCTTTTCACGACATACTGCCCCCCGCAATGATCTCTCCCCTTCCAGGACCTCCACAGTGTCTCACGACCCCGCCAGCACTAGGGGACTGCTAAGGCCACACCAAGCAGCTGAAATAACTCAAACAATGAGTGAAATCATCAAATCTGTCCCCTTGGACCTGGAACTCCAGGAGATCACTGCAGACCCACCGTCCTCAAGCAAGCTGACTGAGGAACCTCCCCAACATGTTCCTTCACATGGCAACAGATCAGACTCAAGTGTAAGGAAACACTTAAGAGTGAAGTTACTTGTAAAGCCATTTGTTGTAGCCACTGGACTACGCACACCTTCCAAAAGGCACAGAAACGACTCCGCAGGTGCCCAGAGGAAGTGCAGCAACGCCTGAATTGCAAGCATCTACCCGATTTCCAGCTTCCTCCGCTATGCTGTTGTTACAAGCAGCAACCATAATTATAACAATAACAGAGATCAGGAGGAAAAAAAAGCTACCCCTTTGTTTAGGCTGCCTGTGCAGTTTATTACTTTCCCTGTATCTCTGCTGCTTAGTGAGTTAAGCCCTGATATTGCCATCAGGTATCCTTCCCTTAACCATAAGCACGACGGGACTCTTCAGCAAATTCAAGGAGCCTAATCACCTGGCTGCAGTTAAGAAACTGGTCAGGCGTTGGTCAGAGCACTCTCCTGTGCTGCGGATGCAGGCTGTATCCATAGCAGTGGGACAGGAAAACAAAGAGCTATAAACCCTCCCAAGTATTGCACATCAACCATTTTCTCACCAGTTTTTATTCTACTACAATTAAGACCATCTCTCAAGCTGACAGCATGCATGATGGGAAAGCATAAACGCTGGAGATTTAAAGCGCCACACGCAATGGTCCAGGAGAGAGGAGAGCCAGGGACCCAATATCTGGGACTCAGATACTGCATCCTACTTCCATGTGTGTTGCAGACCTGCTGGATGGCACGGGGCAGCTCCTTTCCCTCTCTGCCCCATGTCCTCTCACAACCTTCACCTAGCCTCTCCGTCCAGCCTGCACCAGCGAGCAGACCGCCGTGCATCAGACATCAAACAAGACAAAGGGTTTGCTCCCAACCCATCTCATATTCCCACATCGTGCACTTCACAAGTTTTTAAGAAGGAAGCCAAAACCTTCTCCATCTAGTTTTACAGCCCCTACTGCTGACTGTAAAACTGCACAGTTGTGATTTCAGAGGGGTACTACCAGGTTATATGATAGTAAAAACAAGTAAAGCAAGAGGTCTAACTCGCTTTGCTACATACCATAGGGGGGGAAAAAAAAAAAAAGACACAAACCGTTTTGAATAAGCCTTAGCAACTGAAATTAACTACTACAGCAATCTTACCACAACTTGACAGTAAGAGCACTGAGTTTTAATGAGAAAGCTTTACGCACCTCAGTCTTTACCTTCGCTAGCCAACATGGAACTTAAAATGCAGCCCATGCAATGACACGCTTCCTATAATTCTTCCTTTTGAAAGCTGACCAATACAGTTAAAGATGATTTTTAAAGTTTTCTGGAAGCACTGGAAGAAAGAAGTAATGGAGGGATGACATTTAGTAAAGCATAGCTTTACCCCCATCTAAAAAGCCAATACGTAAGAGATCTGGGATTTTACAAAGGCTTCTCCTTCCTCAATCTCACATTAAACCCTCATCTCAAATTCAGGACTATAATATTTCCTCAGTATTGGTTCCCACCTACAGCACCCTCTGTATTAGCTAATTATATATGTTTATAAAATTATGTCCATAGTCAATCTACTGCAGTTCAACTCTGGTGAACATGGGGCTGGGGGAAGAACATGCTTGTCAGAGGCAAAGGAGCAACTTTTAATGCAGTCCAGAGAATTTACCAAAAAAAACCCACCCAAAAACCAAAAAATAATCTTTTGGGTGTTTTGATTTACCGTGGTGAGAAAGTCAAAGTGAAAGGGAGAAAGGAGGAAAGGAAGAAGACTTCACTGGAAACACAACTGGAAAACCCTGTGCCCAGTCCTGCAGGGCTCTACAAAAACTACTCCAAGAACAAACTTGCATGTCAGAAGCAATGGAAGAGCAAGGAATAACCCAAATAAGATTACACAATCAAGAATTAACTGCACGAGCAGAAAAATTAACACCAGGTAGTTTTATTTTTAAAATACATACAATTAAGCCCATGAAAAATTTGTAACAGATATTCATGCATTTTGGCAAAATTACAACTTCTTTCCATGCTGCTGTATAGTATTTGTACACAATATTTCATTTTTTGTGGCATTTTCTTGGGGGAAAAAAAAAGCGTTTACAAGAGGATGAACATAAATATGGAGAATTTAACAATGGGCATTGCATATGAAGAGACGTTCTCTTTCGCTGTATGTAAAACAACCAAAGTGGCAGGAAAACAAGATATATCTTTGTATCCCCCCGTTTCCAGCAGCAGCAGCATCCAATTTGTGTCAACAGACATGGTGTATTTGGAATTTGAAATCCCCAAGTTACCATGGCAATGCAGTTACCTATCCTTGAGAAAATGCATGTTTCACTTCTGGTTCTTTCCAGTCTCCATTTAAGGCTACAATGAGGAATACAGGTTTCAGCACTTATGACCACACCTCATGCAAAAAGGAAAGAACTAGATTTCAAGACACAGATAACGTATACAAATTTTACAAGAAAGTCACATCAACAACGAGGCTCTAACTTGTGCTTTATAGACTTCCAAATCCTGCAACACTGTCCATAAAAGGGTCAGAGTTATTTCTAAGCCTTATTACTGCAGAACTGATCTTGCAGTCTCCCAAGCCAACAGCAAAACCCCAGCCTGCTTACAGAAACAACATGCCCCTTCCTCCCCTTCTGGTATATGGTAGATTGCCAAAAGGAACAACTGAGAGAAAGACACAGAAAGCATAAAGTAAATAAATAAACAGCTTAATGTTTTCCTTCCTTTAACAAGGGCATTTCCCTTCCTTTTTTTTTTTTTTTTTTTTAATTAAAATCATGGAAATGAGCTCTTTGAATGCTTGGCCTTACTGAGGTAGCTAGTTCACCATTTATCCATCTTTTTATCAAAGAAATCTCCTCTCGGTTCAGCTCAGTGCAGTTCCATTTCATGTGTCCAGGCTGTCCTTATGCAAGGTAAAGAATTAGCTCCCTCTGGCATTCATAGATACTATGCACAGCACATCAGCTATTCTGCACAGACCCCTCAGCAATGTATATTTGTGTAGTTGAGTACCAAGTAAAACACACGCCCTTCTTTTTATGAAAACTGAGTCAAACCACCGGGGCTAGAACATGTCAAGCTAACTGTACTTCATAATTTAACTAATCACCAGAAAACCATCCTAGGAACCCAAAAGAGAGTCCAAGTCCTCTGCAAAACAGAGCAGAAAGTGGGACAGCAAAATTCCATACATAAAGGTGGAATTTAGCTTCACTCTTCCGAAAAGTGTCTATTTGACAGATTAGTGGGACTACTACATTAAAGCACTTCTAGAACTGTTTCAGTAAATCAAACAAACAAAAAAACCCTCCTCCATTACCTGAACTCTGTAGAACCACTACCTCACACTAGGATAGCCCACATTTTCTCCAAAAGACCCTATACCGAATAAAGAGTACTGGACACAGGAGCGTTTCAACTTCACTGCCTGGGTAGCAGGAGTAGTTTTAGGGGCAGATCCCTGCTAAAGCAAAAGCTCAAACACACCCTTCAGCCCCTCCAGAGCTAAGCAATTGTTTCTATCCTTTCTTCTGCGTGCAGAATAGGGCAAAGTTCTTGTCTATTGTGCCACTACTAAAATAGAAGCCGAATTCTTGTTCAAATGGTGTTAGACTCTGGGAGAAAATATATCTAGTATCATTACAGTAGCAAACAGTGAGTCAGGATTTGCTGGTGCTATTCCTGGCTCTAACAGTAACCCATCGCGTGCCTACAGCCAAATCACTTAAGGGGGTATTTGTAAAAGTAGGCCAGTCACCAGGTTATTTTACAAGATCTGACTGGAAAAGGCTGGGAAGGCCTGGGGGAGGGCAGATACATTCTCTTTTTTCACCTTATTCTTCCATTTTATAGAAAAGCGTATATAAAAGCTTGAATAGCATACTGCAATATGCCAGGCTTAGGGTCTCCATTCAAGTGGCTGACTATTCGTACTCAAGATTAATTTCCCTTTCTCTTGCGTCTTAACTCTTATGGCTTCAGGGCCAATTTACTGATTTTGCATTATTTTTTGAACTGCCGTATCTCCATTCTTATGCTGCCTTCAAACAATTTCTCCTCTAAAATTGGCAGCACCCTCATAGAGTTTAAGCAAACAGTAAGATTTTATGTGTTTGACTGGAGCTATAGATCAAAGCTTCCTATAGCCATGTATATATAACACAAGGAATACTGGTTTTCCAATCTAAAACTAGTAGCAATTATTCTTGTTATTTTGGGACTGCTCATCATCCTAAAAAGCAACAGATTTCTTCCCAAATATGCTGAAATTTAACTATTTAAATGTATCAAAAGACAGTAGGCCCAGACGGAGCCTGTTTAGTTCCCTCTCTTTCTCTACATGAAATTATTCTTTTTCGATTGGCTTTATTTTTTAAGACTACAGTACATATGAGTACAGCATAGTGACAGATGAGGTACTAGGGAAAAAGGGAAAAAAAACAAACCAAAACAAAAAAATTCACTCTCTTTCCTCCCCGCCTTCAAAAAAAGATTTCTAACCAAGCCAACAAAAATCCCTGAATTCTGAAGGATGCAGTGGTCAAATAACCTGAATGACATCATATAATTATTAACATGAATCTTAATCTAAGGACATTTGTTCTTTTGGCGCAGCTTAATACAAAGGGCTGTGTAGCAACCGGCACATGGCTGAGGACTAATTTTTTGCAGGATCAGATCTGCAGGCTGGGAAGCTAGATTACACAGAGACAAAAGCTGAGTAGTTACAAGCAAGAGATCTCACACCGACTGGTTTCACCAAGGGGAGCCATGTTAGCATTGTAAAACTGAACAATAGAATCTCCTGGATGACAGCAGCAGTGAGGTCTTTCACGGTCATGATTGCAATTTATCCCATTTGTCAATGGAATAAATAGGTTGGCATTTGTGTCCCCCGATTCAAGGATCAGTGTAACTGAAAGATCCTTCTTACTCCAACGTGAGATCCTGGCTCTTTGGCTACATAGAGGACATCCCCACCATTACCGCATGCCTTACTCCAGTCAGCCTAGTTCCAGTAACATCTAACAAAGAGGAGAACGAGGATGTTATCTACACAGCAGCACACCGAGAACAACAAAAAAAAAAAAAACCCAAGCGAGACATCACACAGAAATGCTTTAGAACTGAAAGCCAATAGCACAACTATGCTCAAAGTATTTCTTCTGCCCTTCCTCCCTGCTGGTTGCCAAGTACTATTTCAGGGCCACCAAAGGCCCTCTCGCTTGGCTGAGTCATGCGTTATCTTGCTATTAACTCTTCACGGTTGTCTAAGAACTAGCTCTGTTCCAAGACGGGAAGAGCAGGGAAAGAAATACTGTTCTTTAAAGTTTCGTAGGCTTCCCCAAAGCGGAGTCCATCGCTTCCTGCGCCAGACTGAGCAAGGCATCCGGAGGCGAGCGCCATACAG